TCATCTGATATGTGTGAATGTGCAACTTTAACAGGCCACCTGAGAGCAATCCTTGCAAGAATAATCTTTTATTTCAGGCTCCATCATGATTTTTCCCCTTGTTCTCCATTGTGTCTCTCCTCACCACTGAAGACATGGCGTAGATGAGGCCCTGTTCAGTAATTACAGAAGATAAGATGCAGGCCCACTAAGAGCGGGATGAGACTCGCAGACAAAAGCTTCTGCAGCAGTCAGCAAGAATACAAAGCAGAACGAGCCTGGATCAAAGCAAAGCTGCAGGAAGACAAAGACAACCAGGAGTAACCAGAACGATAAATGGCTGCTAGTGTTGAGGGGAAGTAACACGCGATTATTAAATAAAAAACAGAAACATTTAACCATCTTTGTTCTATAAAGTGACCCTCAAAATGGCGGATGGTTTTTGTTGACTCTTCTTTCCTTTCCGTTACAGAATAAAGTTGGAATATTGACGACGTGATTTTAATTGCATTTCTTTTTGAACGCAATTGTAAAAATTGTTTCTCAGACTTTGGCCGAGTATCAACAAACGGAAATGGAAACGCAGCTACTGATTAAAGTTCCGCTGTTGCCTAGCAACCTGGCCCTGGTACCTCCAGCACATTTGGTCAGCCAGTTTTACTGCTAGATGTTCTATACAATGGCTGCTGGAAAGGACAAGTGTTCTGCTGTGGACCAACCATCCAAGACCCTCTTGCTGTGTTCTCCTTGGTTGTGCAGGAGGCTCCACTTCTGCTTTTCAAAGATGTATGGTGGAATAATTTTGCAGCCATTTTCACGTGCGACTGTGAACGTTGAGTTGGGGGCGTGGCCAGCAGCAGATGATTGGGATTTAAAGTGACAGAGCCCTAAAACAGGTCAAACTTAGACTAAAACCTCATTATCTGAGAATGATTTTGTGGATTAAATGCAGTGAACATATTTTGTGCCACCCATGAACTTATCTGAACCTTAGATTTTTACAAATGTTCATTTCTAATGTTTTTCTGCAGGAAAAGAAATGCAGATTAAATTGAACTGGTTTTGAATTGCATATAAAGTTTATGGAGAGATAGTTGTGCTTCATGACAGAGAGTGCAGACATGTTTCCTGTGAGTGTGCTTGGTTTTGCAGCGAAACAGGCTCTTTACTTTATCACTGAAAAGAGTGCAATGTTTATAAATGATATCTTTCATTTGCCATCTGACAATTAGATTTTCTTTCATTTCCTGACATCGGCTGGTTTTTCCTGGAACCGTCCGAAAGGTTGGGCACCCAGTCTGACATTATCTATTAGCTCAAAAAGATCTTTTAAGAACTCCAGTTTTGTCCTGCCTCCCTTAGTCGTTTCCTACTTGTCTGGTTCTGTTCTTACACTCTTCTCCTGTCGTTACCTCCCTCTCCTCACTCGTTCCTCTCTGTCCTATTCTCCTCTCCACTCTCATGAACTGAAGTGACAAAAAGTAGCACTTTGTGTCTAATATTTCTATATGGTGGCAATCAGAGTCGCCTCGAAAGAACGAACTGTGGCTAATGATTCTCAGAAATACGACTCAGCTCCTCCAGTCAAATCATACATGAAAAGAAACCAGAGGAGAAACTAACTGACTTTACAGGAACTGATCTGCTAATGGTTCATCTGTGGTAGCAAAAGGTTAAGAGTACACTGGTTACACTGATTTGTTATGCTGGAGCCAATCTCGTACATTTTGATAAACCTGTTCCTCTCCTCGCCTGTAGGGGGTGCTGGACCAAGAAGCACTGAAGAAAGTGACACAAAAACCTCTGAAGAAGACAATGAGCGCAACTTCCTTCTTTGCTAAATGTAAACAACCTCATTTTTTAGAGGTTGTAGGATTTCTCTGTTGTCTCTGCTGAAACCACAAGCCGTTTCTCCTGTTAGCTCGAGATTCTGGTTGCATTTACCCAGAATGCCCTGCATTATAGTCCACTTCCTGCTTTTTAAGTGGTCTCCAGTCCACTTGGCTTCCACATATGCATTTAAACCGAACCAGGGTTCACTTCAACCAAACTGAGGATCCAGAGTTAGTATTTTTGGTTCTGTTGTGCGTTCATACCTCCCCAAATGAACCGGATTTATAGGCAAACAAACTAAAACTATCAAAGCAGACTGTCGGTTCCCACTACAACTTCATTTTAAGCTTCGTCATGTCTTGAATGACTCCGTGGACGGTGAGCGTTTCTTTGCATCTGGTGTAAAACTAACAGCGTCTGTTAATAATCTGGACCTGCTTCGATTCGGGATCTGAGTGACTTGACAGGTTTGGATTCTGTACAACCGAATCGCAGTTCGGTTGTACAAGAGAACAACGATCTAAAGTCAACAAATCTACATTTGTATGATTTGGAGTGGCCTAGTCAAAGTTTGGAAATAAATCCCATAACCCTAGTCAGACCATTTATGCTCCAAAACAACTTAATGCAGCTGAATTTCAGACAATTAAAACGGAAAAATGTTTTCCATTGCAGTAACAATTTGGCTTTTTAACCACAAACAAATTTATTGATAGTAAACAAAACAAAAAAAATGTATCTTCAATCTTTTTATTTTCACTATTTCTAAGACTTCATAATTAACCTGATATTTTGGTAAAACCATTCCTCACACAATTCAGAAGCAAAATATTCACAAAAAAGTTTATAAAACCCCAATTTATTGTATTTTAATAGTGTGTCATAATAATATAAACTGACAAACTGGATTATTTTTTTGGCTGGAATACCAAAACCAACAAATCCGTCAGTCCTCTGATTACTTCTGTAACAGTTTGAAGATATTTAAGATTGATGACACTGGTTTTTAATAAAGTATAGTTATCATTTGTTAATTTATTTTGATTTCAGCCATCCAGGCAGGAGAGTCCAAAAGCTCCTGTCGATAAAAAAAGGTTTATTTCCAGGCCTGTTGAGTTAAAGGAAGACAGAACCAAACGTAACGTCTCAAATGCTGAAAGTAACTTGACATCCAGGTAAAGTGGCTCCCATTAAACCAATGCATAGCGTTAAGGAAGAAGGCAGAGCTGCAAAGACACCTCTGTTTTAAACACTGCCCTGTTGTAATGGACTTCCTGACACATGCATTACACAGACAGAGTTTGCATTATGCATTATTGGAGACCATCTGCACAGCTTTCAGGTCTGATGCATTGCAAAAAGCTTCTTATTATGCTGCAGCAGGAAATACTCCAACGGGTGGAGGAGTGTGATGCATGGTCAAATAATTTATGCAGTTGAATATGGACTCAGTGTGACTCATGCCTGTAATTCAAGAAAAAGAGTAAAAATAGGGATAAATTATATTGAAAAAAATTAAGATATATTAGCTTTGAGGAGGCAGAAAATTTAGAGGATTATTTTGGTGGAGGCTGTTTCTCAGAACCGCAAACTTTCTTCTCACTGGTTAAAAAACTGATTTAGGCATTTCTCAGCCCCTTTTTCTTCTCTTTTATACAAGCAGACAGCAATAAGCTCAACAACACAAAAGCTTCATATTTATTACAAAGTATTTATCTAAGAATTGATTTCTTCCTGTAATGGAAATGATTTCTGATTAAGTTCTCTGTTTTCATACTTTCATGGATTGTTCTTGTTTTTTTCCTTTTCTACAGTTTTCATGTTGAATTGCACTTTTTTTGTTAAGTTTATCTTGAATTTGTTATTGTAAATAAATACTAAGAGAAAGATCACACAGTAACTTTTATCTTTGATAAAACCTGTTTTATCAGAGATAAAATAACTCTGGGCTTCTTCACGGTCCAGATTATTAAATTATGATTACAATTATCATCTAATTCCATGTACAGATTTAACTCTAATCTTAATTTAACTGGAACCTGAAAAAGTCCAAACGTGTTAAATCACGTTTTTTATGTTTGGTATGAAAAGAAAACCAGGATTTATTATCAAAGGTAAATGGACTGAACTTGCTAGTCATGCTGATACTCAAAGCGCTTCACACTGCAGTCACATTCACCCACACACACATTTACACCCACATGCAGGTCGCTGGGCAACTTGCCACTAAATGCCCTGCCCAATGGCACCTCAACATGTGGCTGAGGAAGCTGAAAACGAACCGACAACCTTCTGGTCCATCTACCCACAGAGACACAGTCGTCCTAAAGACGCCACGCATGATCCTTTTGCTAATCTTCTCTAAAATACAGGTTTAAACGCAGCATAACGAGCTACAATTCAGGGCAATTTAATGTGAAAAGGTCAACCAAAGGTCAAACCATGAAAGCACAAGTACAGTGAAAATAAAGAGAAATCATTACTATGAAAAGAGGAAATTTTAATCAACACGTTGCTATAAATATTTAGCTGAGTGTTGCAGTAATGAGCCTCTATCACTAAACCAGTGGAGGGAAAATGCCAATTAATTTTACAAGTTTAACAATAAAACTGAACATTGTTGGAGTTTATAAACTGTTTTGGGGACGATTTGCAGCGACCAACTGACCTGACCTGCATGTTTTAGGGGATGTGGGGGGAACCGGAGCGCCCGGGGAAAACCCACGCAAACACGGGGAGACCATGCAAACTCCACACAGATGGTCTCTGTGAAGACGCAGCGCTAACCGCTGCGCCACCGTGCTGCCCACCATTTTTCTGTTGGGTTGGGAGGATCTATTTTGTCAATCGGGGGAAAAACTGTTTTATAAAGTTTTATAGTTTTAAAACTGTAAAACTATAAAGTTTTAAAGAAGTTTTAATATTTTTTTATACTCTGAATGTTTATACATGTTCATGCCACATGTCAGTTTTTAGCTAATCAAGACGTTTTAATGGGTTTATTTCCAATAAGACAAAATGGTGAGTTTTAAAACACTATTAATGCAACTTTCAGTGTTAAAATACTGGGCCGTGCAATGTTTTAAGTTTTAAGTTAACTTAAAACTTAAGTTTTAAAACTTTAAAGTTTTCAAACTTTATAACTTAAAAGTTTTAAAACTTTAAACTTTTAAAACTTGCCCTGAACACAGAGGCGACAACCTGGATGTGGTCCTCAGTTCTTCTCTTTCATGTCTTGATAAATATCAAAATTAATCATCTTTATCGTTTTCTGTCTTTGGTTTTCGTTTTGACTTAATTCCAAGAAATTTTTTCATTCTTTTCCAAATGGTGGTTTTCGGTTTCTTTTTGATGTCTAAATCCTGAAGGCCACTTTCTTGTTGGGTCATAATATCCTCAATGTCTTCAGCGTCCTTAGAACAACCTGGTTCTGGTTCTGGTTCTGGTTCAGGTTGTTCCTCCTCTGAATCCATGTCATTTGAATCATTAATCACGTCAACATGGCCGACTGATATTTCCTCTTCTTCTTCTTGAGGACTCGCCGTGGTGGTTGACGGTAAATCGTTTGTAGATTCAACAATATTTTCGACAGAATTACTTTTAATTTGGTTTCGTTCTGCAGCTTTTTTAAGTGAACTGATGTCTCTTTCGTATCTCATGGACAAATCTTGATATAAAGTGTCAACTTTGTTCAGTTCTTCTGTGGCGTTTTTCAGTTTGTCCTGCAGGCATTTAATCTCATTTTGTGATGATTTCTGCAGGAAGGTTTTTTCCAATTCTAAGTCATTTATTACCTTCTTCTCCTCCTCTGCCTTTTCCAGATAAAATCTTTTTTCTTCAATCATTTGCTTCTTCAGGATCTTTCCACTTTCTTTCTGGGCTTTCAGTTCTTCAGTCAGCTCCTTATTTTTTCCAATGTTTTCTAAATTATCTTCTTTCTCTTGCCTTAGCTCCAGTTGGCATCGCTCCAGGTCTAGTTTCAGGATTGCAATTTCTTTCTCATGGGCCAAAGTCAGATCATGATACGATTTTTTAGATTCCTCCAATTCTTTCTGTAAAAGTTGTTCTGATTCTTGCATTGACTCAATTTTTCCTATCATTTCTACCCTCATCATTTCCATCTCTGTTTTCACAATATCCAATAATCGCTGCTTCTCACTAATCTTTTCCTCATAAAATGTTTGTGACTTGGTCTCTTCTCTCCTCTTTATCAAGTCAGCGTTATATTTAGCATTGAGCTCCTGGAATGACCTCTGGAGCTCCTTCAGTTCTTCTTCCAATGCCTTATTTTTCTCTTTCTCTTCATGCAGTTCATCCATAAATGCTTCAACTGTGTGAAAGCAGGAGACCCTCACTTGTTCATATTTCTGCTGAATTTCCTCCTTCTCCATATCTTTGATTTCAAGCTGAGCCTGAGAAGCTATCACATCAAATTTCAGGACTTCCACGTCTCTGAACTTCTGCAGGCTTTCCAGTTCGGCCTTCGCTCTGCAGGCCTGATCAAAATAGCCAACTTTTAACTCCTCCTGCTTCTTGAGTTGGAACTCCATTTCTTGGAGCTCTTCCTCCAGCTTCTCTCTCACTGCAATCCTTTTGGCCTTTTCTTTGTTCAAAAGGCCGTTCAGTCGATGGATCTCTTTTTCCAAATCATCAGGGTTGGCAGTAGAGCTCCTGCCTTGGGGGTGTTGGTGATTTCCCCTCCTTGGATTAAATCCCATCATGGTTGATCTTGCTCTTTGCTGAGACATTTTCTCAAACACTATCAATGAAATCGTCGATAAAATATCTTAAGGGGTTTGCGAGCGTCTGAACTGGTCAGTAGTATTGCGAGCAATGACAAATATGCAGAATTGTGTTACATACAATTCTGCAGTTGATGACATCACAGACGGCATCGCCAATGACATCACAGAATCTCCCTTTGCTGGCGGTGTGACATCATTCCACCTCCAAATATCTTGTTTACAGTCAAAATAGTCCATGATTTTCTTGTCTTATGTCAGGGACATCAAACTCATTTCCATTTGGGCCCAGATCAAAAATCTGAATGTTGTGCCAGGTTGCATTGATAAAAACCAATTCAATTGTTAAAATATCAGTGAATAGGTGTTTCAGCATTCAATAAGTGTTTAAAATAAAATAATATTGAACATCTTTTCACACTAATCAGTCCGTTTGCAATTGTTCAGACTTTTGCAGCACCACTGTTTGGAGATAAAATGAACTAAAATAATCAAATGCTGGGGTGCTCAAACTTTTCGAGACCAAGATCTACTTTTTTTCTCACCAGCCGGCTGAGATCTACCTCATAAATTATAAATGAAACCCTATTGACTAATTTTCTATGCAAATATCCATCAGTTATATCAGAAATGATAAAGTGCTAGAAAACCTAATGCAGTTTCTTCCTCAGTGAGATTCTGACACTGGGAGCAGTTTACTGGTTTCTCAGTCAGAAGCTGGTTGCAAACCTGAGGCCAGCAGGTGTCAGTCAGTTATGGTGGATCTGAAATTTGGTTTGATGACGTCACTATGAGAAACTGCAGACTGATAGGAGGAACCAAAGAGCTCTGCAGAGGTAAAGGCAAATCTTCTGAATTTGGGATATAATTAATGTAATTTGACACAATTATGGTGGTAGAAGCCACTTGTTTGTTAAAACTTAATCAAATATATGTGTCCTATTTGATGTTGGTTGTGACGTTTACTGCAAACGAACGAGGTCATCAGTCCAAGTCTGTCGTTTATTGAACGTTCAGAAACTCCAGTGGCTGTGATGAACCACAGCGAAGGAAAACAAAGTAAAATAACCCGAACAGGTGATCAACTCAGAACCACTCGCACCGTTTCACTCTCTCTCTCTCTCTTTACCATTAAGCTCACCCGTTTCCGTGGCAACCGCTGGCGCCCCGCAAGCCGAGCAAAGATTATGTTAAAAACGTTTAGTCTGTTACAATATCAGGTTTCCAGGCTTTATTATTTTTTAATGAAGCTACAAACGTTTTGGATCTTAGTGAATATTTTGAAAAGTCTGTCAGAAGAGGAAGTGCTGCTCTCAGCGTCCTGGAGGCCTTCAGTTTGTCACCTGCTGCAGAGATCGACTCAAAACCTCCCCGCGATCGACCAATAGATCGTGATCGACGTATCGAGCACCCCTGATCAAATGTATCTTTTAAGACTCCCAGTGATCTTGGGGTTTCCCAACAAGACATTGTTGACTGTTTTAACCTTTCACCTCTTCGCCTGCTTTGGTCACATGAGCTGCAGACTAGCAGACAAACTTTAATAAAACTTTCAATGGCGGGTAAAGTAGCAGGTTAATGGTGGTGAAACCAAAAACAACTCTGTCTCCACTGTTTGCTGAAAGAACATGGAAGATGGCGAGGAATATTTTAGTAGAGAGCATCCATCCTCACTTTTCATCAGTTTGAACCTCTGAGCTGATAAAGGTGTTATTGTTGCTCTGGCAACTAACAACATGCATTAGAAGTCATTTATTGATAGTACGATAATTATTCTTAACCAAATTAAATAACATTCACCTTAGCATGCTAAGTGTATTTCTCGATGCACAAATTGTTGATATTGTTCAGAGATTAAAGGTTTTTTATTGTCATATCAGCCACTGGCCACCAGGGGCTCCCAAAGCGCCCCAGCCTGGCTCCAGGGTGTACGGTGGCCCTGAGGTTCAAACCACTTCAGCAAATTGAAACCACAATTACAAAAGCTCTAGAACATGAACATAAACACAATGACATTAATGAAAGCGTTTTTAAATCACCAAGAACGTTCATGTTTTTTAAAAACACGTTAAAGCCAGAATAACTTCCGATTAAAAACGAGCCGCAGAGCAATGAGTGATTTCTTAGGTCTCCCACTGGGACATACCTGATCCGTTTCTGTCATGTTGGATTTGAGTTTCTTTACCCACATGCAGGTTTAGACATCAGACCAGAAGGGTTTTGATTCAAAGATTTATTTACAGTTATTATTGAATATGTTGAGCCTAAGTTGTCCTCTGGGATCGGGAGCGGCCGGGCGGCTGTGGTACTGCTTGGAGAGGGGAGAGGTTAGTAGGAGCGGGAGTGAGAGGATCTTGACAGGGAAGTGGAGGGAAAGGCTTACAGTTCATCTGATGGAGGATTGCCGAGGAGGAGGTAGGATCCGTTGGTGCAGAGGCTCCGAGAAGGTTGCGGGCTCGGGCGGCAGACGAGAGCGTTTAGTCCGGTGGGCAATCGGTGTCAGTGTTCGGGTGGGCGTGGTTCCTAGCTGGGTCCAGGCAGTGCATCCAAAATCTGAGAAAAACAACACAAAGATTAACTTAGTCCTTGGTCAGCATGAAGCTTGGCAAAACCTTGGGATTGACTCTGACCAACAAGTGGGACCATCGAGCGATGAATGGCTGCTCCACCGCTTCTTAAGAATCCTGCAGCCGATTTCAGAAATCCGCTTCAGGTGCGTCAGCCTGCCAGAACGCTCCCACGAAGATCGTCTATTCGGAGGAGCACTCACACCAACTTGAATCCTAACAGTTTCATCAACGTTGTAGCACTTTTATTCATGTTTTAGTGCTTGTGTGACATTCTCTGCTTATTTACTAGAATGACAAAAAACAAAAGACAAATCTTCAAAACGTCACTGCCTGCTTGTGGCCCCTCAGCTGAAAAACAAAAGACACAGTTAGCATCATGACTGAATGGTCAGCCAGGAACACCAACTGGCGCAGCTCCCACTTATAGGGTCATATTTTTTCAGCATAACCATTATAAAACTTTATAAATCATATTTGTAGATGTTAAATGTTATTATAGTATTTTGTTTAGTATTGAACTAGAAAAATATGACCCCAAGTAAAAGAAGTAATGAAGAGCTGCCTCTCTCGCACCGACCCCCACCAGAACTCCACAGGATTCTGGTGGGGAAACCTGAAGGACCCGTCGCATGCAGTCTGTCATCACACCACTAGGTGGCTCTAAACCGTGGCATCACTCAAACATCCCACCAGAAACAGACACAACCTTCATTATTTTGGGCAAAATTCACAAAGACATATACACACACTTTGCTCTCTGTTACACTTTCGTTCATGTTTTAGCGCTTATGTAATTTGCAATCGTGCTTTCAATATGCTGAAGTGGTTTGAACCTCTGGGCCCCGTAAGGGTAGGACCTCCTGTACGGTCGAGTCCAACCTGTTTCCAATGGTCGTATTGATCATATGGGATCTTTGGGCTGCGCTTGGTCTGGTTCCTCACCTTGGACCCGTCTGCATCGGGTGGCCCAACCAGAGGCATGAAGCCCCGACAGCATAACTCCTAGGATCACTGGGACACTCAAACCCCCCACCACCATAAGGTGGCAGCCATGGAGGGGACGTGTAAATGTGTGCATGTGTGTGTATTAAATAACCTGTTAATTATGTAGGAAAGAAAGAAAATGAGAGACAATGGAAGAAAGTTGTTAACATGAGGAAATGAGCACAATGTGGAGGTAATCATTCTGACTTTTGGTCCATTTGTTTAGTTTTTAAAAAGTTTTTCAGGCTCTAATAAAGTGTTTTAGGCTCTAGTAGCCGTTATTTTTGCAGTGGTTGAACAGGAAATTGGGAGGAGAAGGGTGGGAATGACATGCAGCAGATTCCCCAGGACTAGGAATTAAACCCAGGTTGACAAACAAAACCGATAAGTAACGTCCTAAACAAAACATAATTTGCAGTCTGACTATAAAGCTGGTTAAAAAACTGATTTAGGCATTTCTCAGCCCCTTTTTCTTCTCATTTATACAAGCAGACAGCAATAAGCTCAACAACACAAAAGCTTCATATTTATTACAAAGTATTTATCTAAGAATTGATTTCTTCCTGTAATGGAAATGATTTCTGATTAAGTTCTCTGTTTTCATACTTTCATGGATTGTTCTTGTTTTTTTCCTTTTCTACAGTTTTCATGTTGAATTGCACTTTTTTTGTTAAGTTTATCTTGAATTTGTTATTCTAAATAAATACTAAGAGAAAGATCACACAGTAACTTTTATCTCTGATAAAACAGGTTTTATCAAAGATAAAATAACTCTGGGCTTCTTCACGGTCCGGATTATTAAATTATGATTACAATTATCATCTAATTCCATGTACAGATTTAACTCTAATCTTAATTTAACTGGAACCTAAAAAAGTCTAAATGTGTTAAATCACGTTTTTTATGTTTGGTATGAAAACTAGTGATGGTGAGATGAAGCCTCATGAGGCATTGAACCGCTTGATCCAACTGGTTCAGAAAGGGTTCATTTCTAGAAGCTTCATGTGCTCACGAAACCACCTACTGGCCAGGTGTATAATCACAGCCAGCTGTATCTTAAACAGGTGTGATGCATTGAATTTTTGTCTTTTATTTCTCTTGGGAATGACGTCACAAAAGGTGTAGGACAAAATCATTTGTCTACATAAATTATGTAAATACATATGTGAATAATAAGATATTGGTTGAATGTATTCTCTGTGTGTAATTTTTCCCAAAATAGTCGTGTCATGTGATATGGCATGTTGTGTAATAATGTTTTTCTGTGACTCTAGAAAAATGGCTTCATCAGGCAGAGGACAGTGAAAGTGCTTGTGGAACAAGAGAGGGGGCAGTAAAGAGGCTAATGCTTGTGTAACTTGGATGATTTCATTCATCTTTATTAAGAAACAATTTCTCCACAGTTTTTGGTTTCAAACGATTCCT